TATGTATGTGTATGTATGTATGTACATATGCACACATGTACACACCTATATATCTATATATATATATATACATATATATATATAAATAAAAGGTATATACAAGTCTGGACATCCGTATCTAACATGGTTGCATATATGTGTTTAAATTTAAACATGTACTGCCACGACCCACACAGATACTTGCTTTACAAGTCGATGTGGGTGCAGGCTCCGACACACTGTGGCTTTATAAAGGTACCGAATATGTGAATGATCATGCCTCATATTAAGCTTTTATATATATATGTATAGATACACATATAGTACGATACATGCATGTTTTTTTGACTTGTTTTTACGTACACACAGGAACATGCAGCCTTACACTATATTTATTTCTATGCCACACATACATGTACACATATACACATGTGTGAATATGATAAACATGTTGATTGGCACATAAGCATGTTTACCAGCCAGTGCTGAGGCACCCTTGATGGAGGCCGCAGGTGTTCCCCTGCCGCAAGGCTGCTCTGTGGAGGAACCTTGCATGAAGAAGAGCTACACGATCAAGTATGAGGGCCCTGGCAAGAGCAAGACCTCCTCGATAGCTGTGCTGTGACCCGCCATGACATATCGACCTGTACGTGTGAGTGTGCGTGTGTGCATGTATGTGCCCAATACATATTGTGTGCATCGTTGCTTGACACATAAGCATATCCCAGGTGGGCCAATGGACAGTTCTACGTGAACAAGGTCATGGATGTAGCTGCTGCCGCTGAAGCAAATGTTAGCATCAATAAGAAATCCGGTGCTACGATCAATGCAAGCAAGAAGAAGGGATGGCTCGCTGGATTCATGATCGCCAAGCGCCTTGCAAACTGGATTAACTAGGCTTCTGGTATCACTAGTTCTAGAGATGTGTTGATTGACACATTGGAATGTGCTTCTGTACTGTGGAAGCGCAGTGCAGATTTTGCACAAATTTGAATTTCGAAATTCGTGGCTGCAAATATGCACTCATGCTGGTGAGATGAGACTCCAACCTAGCGGCAATGGTGACGAAAACAACATGTGTTGTTCAATGCTTCGTCATGTCCTGTGCCTTTTCATTCATTCGAGTCGTGCGTGCAACACTGTATGTGCGGTGAATGTGTATGATCGAGATCATGTCTTTTGATGTTGGTTTGCCCACACATGGATATGGCCAGTGCCGCACCACGGGCGTTCTTGAGTGCCCGGGCATCTGCTACCCTCCTGCTGCTTGGAGCTCCTGTCCTCCTGCTGCCTGCATGCATTCAGACGTCGATGCTGCACATGCATATTTTAAAGCCTGATATGACAACCTGAGTGGGATCATGTATCCAGAGGCTCCACCTGGCTGACTATATCGGGCAGCTGGGTGAACAAAGCCTTGCGACACCATGGTGCAGAGACACTCACCTTAACATCTACCTATGTGTGTGTAGATTCTTACATACATAATTCTCACTTTAACATGTAATTGCACACTGCCCAGGACATCGATCTTCTGGAGATGTTTTCTGGCGAGAAGGTCATCACGAGTGCCTTTAGACAGGCTGGGCTTAAGGTGTGCCTTGGGCATACACGGTTTGTGGTCGACAGTGTGTACACATGTGAAATGTTGCAGTGTACATGTCTTGGCACATATCTATAGCTAGTACTAGTTTGCATGGACAGCAGAGGCAGTGGTATGATGTGGTCGGCCGGGGGTCGAGGAATGATATTCTGACCACAGCAGGGTTTATGACGGCCATCAGAGATGTGATGAGACTTCGTAAAGGAGCCCTACTCTGGTTAGGACTCCCCTGCAGCTCGTGCCTTGCCAAGTATTGTATTATAAATGTGATATTCCTATAGATGTGTAAACGTATGTGCAGATTTAGTAGTGTCACGTGATTAATTCACGAAAGGTGCCCCCCCATAGCCATGTACATGTGTGAGTGTAGGAATAGCTCAGGTGGGTCTGGGTATCCTCCGGAACCCACCAGAGACACCTGTGTGTCATGGGTGATGAGAGACACTTGTGCTGCATTTATGGAGTTTCGTTGAGCTTGCTGGGTAGTGATCCGATCTTTTTAATTAAGGACAACGAATGGTTCAGCAAGGCAACGAGATAGCTGCCCGATGCAGCCTTCTCATATTGCTCGCGCTGGCTTTGGGTGTGCACTTTGTGGTGACTTCCTGCCAATATCATGGTGTCGAGAATGTCGTTGTCGGTCTGTGTGTTCATATATATTGCACAATTACTGCATCTAAGGTGGAGCAGCCATACAGCAGTGTGGTCCTGTCATTTCCCTACATCCATCACCTCATCACCTGCCCATACACTGCAGCTGCAATGTGCTACCAGGAATTGTGCCTTGCATTTCGATTCGTTACTGGTTAATGTGCATGTGTACATGGTGGGCACAGCAGCTAAGTTACATGGCGAACTATGGGCATTGGGCCCAGAAGAGAAGCTGGTTAATCGGGACCCCGAGGCTTGGATGCAAACTAGATATTCCATACATGATTAAGTCGCACAAATCCATTCTCTAAACAGTGAGGTCCACCAAAAACAAAGATTAGGCTTTCATGCCCAAGTGCCTTAGTTAATTTATTGGGGTTCCTGCCAAAACCCTAAACCCTATGTCAGGGATCAACACCCCCAAACTCATCATATCTAGCTTCGGCGAAGTACTGTAACCCCCACCCCAGCCCCCACCAAAACCTGGATCCAACAATTAACAATTGCAAACCTCCTGATGAGACCTAGCAGTTCATAAGGTCCTCAAACCAGTCAGCCCATGCAATGCAACATGTCAATATATACTTAGGAAGTGGATCCACTCATTGCAGAGACGCCTTCGACCTGAAGTCAAAGCCTCCTTGGTGTCAAGCACAGAGGCTAAGGTAGTTACCAGGAAGAAGGTGGTTGTGAAGGATGGCAACACCGAGAAAACGAAGACAAAGGTGCCCGAAGCCTAGCAACCAACTAGCATCAGCCTAGCTCCCCATTAGGCAAATAAAGCTTATAAACAACTGCTGGAAGGTCTGGTGCTGCGAACTTGAGGGCCACTGCGGCCTATCCGAAGGAGTTCGCGGCCTTCATCCTCGAGAGCATGACCTCGAACCAGGCCTGCCTGGGCCGGGTTCTGTGTCGCTGCTGTAGGGCCGTTGCTTGGTGACTGGAGGTGCTATGTGCAGCTGTTTAATCCTCACAAGGCAACTTTAGCTTGGAGTCTAGCCTGTAACTGAACGGTGCTGCTGATGACAAAGTCACTTCGGGAATTGAAGACATTGCTGGAGCCCTACTGTCAGCCTGGGGGGAAACCACGACGACAGAATGCAGACGATGTGCTTTTCTGCCACTTTAGCCTCCCGCGCAAGTACAGTGAGCCTTATCTTGCCAAGCTGGCTAGCCAGCTGACTCAGATGGATGCTGGATTTTTCAGTAGCACAAGCTTTAATAGTTGTATATATGGGCTGGGGTTTCTTAGTGTTGGGTCCTTAAAATTCGATTCTAATTATAATTATACGGATCCGACTATTTAGGCTGCTATATTATGGTTTTAGGGCTTTAGGGTTTTAGGGCTTTAGGGTTTTAGGGTTTCAGGGTTTAGGGCTTTAGGGCTGTAGGGCTTTAGGGCTTTAGGTTTAGGGTTTTTTAATTAAGGTCCCCTAGGAAACCCCCTAAATGGCATTACCCTAAACCGTCATTCTATGTATATGAAGCTATTTATAAGCCCTTATAATTTAACATCCCTAAACCCTCACCTGCTAAACCCCTAAACCCCTAAATCCCTAAACCCCTAAACCCCTAAACCCCTAAGCCCCGAACTCCCTAAACTTGAAACCACAAACCCTCAACCAAGGATGACCCCAGCAAGATTTCCCTTGGGAAGACTATCTTCGAGGCTTTGGACAAGCTACACGAGCTCAGGCAGCAAAGGAGGAGGAACAGGGAAAACCGTGAAACATCCAGCTGAAGGTTTTGGTGAATGTGTGAGGAAGTGCAATCCCCGTTGTTTTTTACATATGCACTTTACCAATTCGAAATTCATTTAATGGTGCAAATCACACTACATGTGATGTAGAACATTTGATGTACAGTGTCATTCACCCAGAGGCCGTGGATGTCAACACAGGATGCTGTCCGTGAGAAGATAAGCATTGCGAGCTGATATTGGCATTGAGTTGTGCTGCCTGTCCCTCCATACATTAACTACAAGTGAGCTGACATCTATGTGTCAGGTGGGCCAGCCTCCACAGCTGAATCTTCCAGAAGATCTTGCATCTGCAGCAGCTATGGCTGCTTGGTGGGGTTGAGAATGGGTTCGGTTTGGCTTGATGCCATGATGTTTTGGAAGTCTCGGGATCTGCTTATTTGGCTTTGAAGATTTCAAGTCCCGGCATGTACAATAAATATAGAGTGGTGGATCGGAGGTTTTCAGTGATTAGTGGTTTAAGGGATTTACTAGCATATATCCAGCTTTCAGCCTTTGTCGACTGAGCTTTCAGAGGCTTCGGGTGGGTCACATAAAATTGTACAGTATTTTCGGGTCTCGGATGTGGTGCGTTCAGGCTGGGTGCAGTTCTTTTCGTCGTGGAATTGGGATCGAGGGCTGGGGGCCTTGAGGTCAGGATATGCTATGTGTTCGGAGACTAAGTGCTGCTTGTGCTCTAGAGCACGATGCAAGGCATACATGGGCCCCAACTACCCTAAACCCTAAACCCCAGAGCCATATATATATATATATAGAGGTGTGTGTGTGTGTATATATATATATATATATTAAAGCCATATAGAAGCAATCATAAAAAGATACGTAAAATAACTATACATATGTGTATATATAATATATATAATAGTACATGTATGTATGTACATGAAGCCCTGGTCCAGGATACGCGCATACATACATGTATATATATGTCATTGTATATATATATATACGTATGTACACATATATATATATACACATATGCAGTAATATGTAATTCAAGCCCCTGTGGCAACCATGCCCTGCTTGCTTGCTAAAGTTTTAAATTGGGGGCTTGAGGGTGCTGTGGGGGGCTTTGATAACCATTAGACATCGACTTTGTGGTTGCAGGTTCTTGAAGCTTGTGCTATGCATAATCTTTTTAGATAGCTGTTTAAATGCTGTTCTTTGAGCTCCAGGGAAACTCCATGGGGAACAGGTCATCGGCTCATCTAGGCATGTTCGGCTTCATTGTGTTCTTGCCTAGCCTTTACAATAATCAATCAACCACAGTGCCACTGAAGCTGGTCACGATTTTCAAGAAGAAACAATCCCCCCTATATATGTTCAATCTCCTAAACCCTACACCCGGACAAGTCCCGGCCCCCTGACAACCCAACCCTAGGCAAAGTAAAGACTGAGCAAGCTGCGACTGCCTGAGTGATGGGGCCAGCTTCCCCTGGCAAGGCATTCATGGATGGATGGATGCATCGTAGGGTTAAGGGTTCCCCCCCTTGTTTTACCTAAACCCTAGAACCCTAAACCTTAAAGCCTTATCCCTAAACCCTAAAGAGTGTTTCTGTTTACATATACCTATCGAATCGTATGAGGTCCTCGGTGTTACCACTGCCATGTACATTTGTATATAGATGTGTTTATGTCAATGTGGCCTTCTGACCCCACAAGCTATTTCAAGCACTAAGGCACAGCCCATGCAATGGCAGCATGCAAACCTCGAGCCTTTACGGCTTTTTCTACGAGCTGAGCAGGCTGCTGGCAGGTATCGACCTCTGTGTCCCTTCCCGATTTAGAGAGGTACATGTAGGTGTGAGATTCATATAACACAGTGACCAGCTAGCTATCTACGTATATGTGTGTGTGTAGATAAATACATAAATATATATGTTA